GGAGGAACATGGTGAAAAAGAAGGGACTAGAAAGAAATTTCCATACATGAGATCATACGATTATGAGAACACTCTAAAAGTATTAAATGAAATAAAAGTAAGAAGTAGTAGTGAAATGTGTTATGTGAGCAAGTGAGATAGTGGAAAGTTGCAAAAAGTTCTCTTGAAAATATATAAAATATGTAAGCAAGCAGAGTACACTCATTTTTACAAGCGTTGCATGAGCTCTGTATGTAGACCATCTTCTCTCCAAAGCCCACTTGATACTCCTCACACCCATTCCCAGCGCCTAGTCTGTTGTGGGCGCTCAATAAATATTAAACAACCAGAGCACAAACTACTGTCAAAAGTTTGGAATTCACAGGAATCAATACTATTGTTATTATACTTTAACATTTATTGAGGGTCAACAGCATGACTTAGTCCACATGTGCAAATAGGTTATTTTATAGTCACATATTAAGCAAATAATTAAATACAATATGTATCAACTACACCTTCAGTTTTACTACATTGATCTTAAATGTAAAATTGTTTCTCTCTTTTTTTATAGTGTTGACACATCATGAAGTATAAACATTTATTATTTAAATAAATACGTTTCTCTCAGAGAAATCATTACTCTTAGATATTATTAATATTCATTTGAAAGTATGGGCTCAATCTACAATAAATACACATCGCAGATTCTAAATAGACCAGTACATGTACAAAGAATAGAAGAATCTGAAAAGTGTCTGAGGACAATGACAAACACACAAACCATGTAATATCAGTTGGGTTTCACTTGTTGTGACAATTTAAAACACTAATACAATTATGTAGGGTACCATTGTTTACAAAATAGCAACAAAGGCAAAGAAAAACAGAAAGTCTTCAAGTGGACACAAATTACGGCACTTATGAATTTAAAAAGATTTCTTAATTTAAAGCAAAATATAAGTTTTATTATAGGAAATGAACTGCATTTGATACATTTATGATCCATATGCTCCAATTTTACCCTTAATAAAATGATTACTAATTGTGTTCAAATTTATTCTTGATGGTTAATAGGTACTCAAATTCTATTTAATCATTTTTCATGAATATTTTTGTCATGTTTGTACTTAAGTGGATTTTGAAGTGATTTTTAATTGTTAAGAGGATGGAAGACTATAACTAATGTTTCTGTAATGAAATTTTCAGTTTAATTTTGGGATACTAAAATATCCAAGTTTATAAAGTATGTTTTCCCTTAACATTTGAGTCTTAGAATCCTAGAAATAAAAGTCTTTCTAGACCAGCCTTCTTCTATAGCAGGAAGAGCCTTTATATTCTGATATAAGGGACATACTACTTAAAAACTTTGTTGAACATAAATTTTTTTATGATTCAAAGGAATAGAAGATCATCTAATTCAGTTCTATAATGTAAAACCAAGAAAAGTGAGGATAAGCCCTTATGTTTCTATATTTAGACATACATTGGCCTAATTGGGCAATTATTAAATTTTCTCTCATTTTAAGATTTTTTTAAATTTACAATATAGAAGGTGCAATTGCTAAATTTAATTTATTCGATGTCTTTATCCATATGATGGTTCACCACATGCTGTTCTGTTATGTAAGAGTACCATCTACAAAGATCATAATGATATAATTAATGAATAATGCATATTTAATTATTAATTTGCTCTACTTTTTTTACTTTAAAATGAGAGTAGTTAGATGATTTAATCACTTATCCTGGTTTCTGAAATATCTGGCAATCTTTGCTATCAGAAATCACATTTGATTTACTAAAATATCTTAATTGTACAGTACTTAGAGGCACAGATCATCGATATCTGGATCACCTAGTATTCTTTTCTTCAACAATTCCTCTATGTTTTCATTCAACCCACAAGTATTTTTTGAACACTTCCTACATGCCAGCACTGTTACAGGCCCTTAGAACAAACTCTTAAAGAAACCTTTAAGTAATATCATGCACAGGTGTGAATGAAAGAAAAAGAAAGATGATATGCGAATGATTTGATTTATTACTATTTTCTTCATCTTTTCATTGTTAGATTGAAATCACTTTGAAGGAAAATTATTAGAAACAAGGAGATGCTGGGACTCCAATCTACAACTCATATCATTAAAGTTAGTTGTCTTGACTGGTCTCCTTCCCTGCCACAGTAAGTAAGAAGTCACTTCCCTAGAGTGACTGCTTTGATCCTCTGGCTAGTAACAAGCAAATACTATGAAAAATTTTCTTCTGAGAGAAAACAAGATTGAAAAAGAGAGAGGGAAATTGGATTTAGGGGGACAGGTCAATTTTGAAAAGTAATACTGAGGAAAAAGTACACTAAAAATGAGAAATTGAATATCAAACAATAAATAAACCAAGCTTAATGAAATGTGATGTACTCTTTCTAGATATAATATACAAATATATAAAGACAAATCTTCATACAGTAGCACGTGTTGTGATGTTTTGTCTTTGGCATTCCTTGGCTCTCACTATAAGGAGAGCAACGTGTATTGTGGAAAATATTTGTGTCTCCTGATGCTTCTAGGTAACTGCTTTCTAAACAAGAGAAATCGTTAATGGTGTCTGTGGTGTGTGTGGGTGTGTATGTGTGTGTGTGGGGCTTTAGTGTGGGAAAATTTATAAAGAGTTTCTTAATACTCAAAATTCTGGTCTAGCCAATTTAAGATCTTTATGAGAAGAATAACTAAAAACCACATGATCCATCATGAATTAAAGATAAAATAGAGATACTTTTTTGGACTTTTGCAGAGGTTAGATTAACTAAATTTCTAATTCTTAAACGATATGAGGTCTAGTTCATTAAATTACATAAACATAACATTTATTTCACCTTTCACTATATGAATTTTCCATAATGTAAAGTTTAGCTTAATCGATGTTTCCCAAGTACAATTATAATGCAGACTAAGTTCAGAGTTTCAGTGTACACAGTTTTACATAGATCACACAGTGTATTTGAAATCTATTAAGAATTATGAGTGTCATAGTTTTTCCCTAGTACAAGTCCATAAGTTAAACCTTAAATGAAAATAACTCTTTATAAACTATTTAACTGTACTTCAAAGAATTATGAACTAGTTTTAGATTATTTATACTTCTGAAAATAACTAAAAACTATATAAGGAAGAGAAATACACAATAGTCAAAGCATCATCTTATGTATAAATATTAGAATATTATGATGAAATCTGCAGAATGTAATTGATTTATTATCACATAAATTCCTTGATTTATTAAAATCACAAAATATATATTTTCATATAAATTATTAGTCATAGATATACCATCGCAAAAGTATGCAAGTTATCCAAATACCTTATTTCTTATGATTTAAAAAGAATGAATTATAAAATAATCTGAAGGAGTAAATTCACATCCCTAAGAGCCATTTCCAGTCTCAAAACTATTTGAGGCAACATTATAGAATTAACGAAACTGACACCAACATGAAGGTAAGAACACATAAACAATCTGAGCTTAATCAGTTATATGTTAGGTACTATTATTAATGTGGACATTTTATATTCTAGTCAGTCTTCTCTTAATTTGCTGTGGCTATAAAAACAATCTGCAAATACTGTAAGATGAGTAACCAATGCCTGTATACTAGAGGGTAGAAAAACTATGAAGCTTAATGAAAGCAAAATGTTTTGATTCTCATTTATATTGAAGCTGATTTTACAAGGAAAAATGCCTAAGTAAATACTATATACTTAACTAGGAGTTTATATTTTTTCATATCCTTTTACATACGTTTTCTTGTTTGAACTCCACATCTTGTCAGACAGGTAGGTCGGGTATAATTAACTCTATTTTTTAGAGAAGAAATTTAGGCTCAGAACCTTGTCTAAGTCAACAAGTTGAAACTGGGATCTGTGCTCCTAGAGCTCTACTTTATATTTCAGAGACTAAAGTATCCACCTCAAAAAGAAGTTGACAGAAACATTTTATTGAATTCTAAAAGTCCAGGTAGTCCACAGAAGCCAAAATGAATTTGAAAACTTATTCAATGAGATTTAATGTGACTTTTCTTTTGAAAAACCAAAGGAAATAAATCCTTAATGAATTTTTTAACCTTAGTTTACTTATCTGAAATGTGAGGGTTTGAAGGATTTATATATATGTAAAAATATCTAATTTCTGATATTAGGAATTTGTCTCAAATTTAAGAGGAGAAATGATTTTGATTTCATTCTTGACAAAATTATTTCTAGTTCCGATTTCATCTATTTATTATAATAAATAATACATATTATAATATTATAATATATTAAAAGCCAAAGAGTGGGGGGAACAAAAATTAAAATTATTAGCACTATGAGCTCTGACAGAAGGCCCAACATCACTTCAAACGCTTTTATTCTACTCTGCTGTAGCATTTTTCTCAAGCATATTCTAAAATGATATATTTATTATATAGCTGCATTAAAAAAAAGAAAATGCATTATTTATGGCATTATGGTTTGTAACACTGAAATTTTAGACCTCTTGGGAGAATCAACTGCTGAAGTTGTAATATAAACGCAAGTAATTTACCTGTATTGCTGGGTTTTTGCTTTAACATACTACTTCTCAAGCAGTAGAAATTGTTTTTGCATAAACAGAATTGTGTCACCTCTATTCTTTAAACTATGATCAGTCAGGTGGTGTTAAAACCACAAATCAAACAGAAAAAAATGTCTACCAATTGCCCTGGAAGATTTCCTTATTCCCAACAATCTTCAGCAATTCTCTTGATGTAATTAAGCAGTCTGTGGAGCTTTCCTGTTCTGAACTTACACTCAAAGTTTAGTTATACAAAAGAACAAAAACCCAGATTGCCACCTCACATTCTCCCTGGCACAGAAAAACATGCAAGGACAGTGAAAGAGAGCAATCGATTTAAAGGTTATTGTCGTCCGCCTGTCTGAATCCAGTGCTTTCCTCCTCATGTTGTTGTCTTTCTAAAGATAATGTCAACCTCCTTCATTTTTTTTTACCTTGCTCCACTGTCTTGGTTGTTTTCTCTTCCTTCTTTCCAGGTACAGCTGCAAAGCAGAGATACGGTTTAAATAAAATTCCAGATGTAAATGCTGCTTCTGCTCAAAAAGGCATTTTGTAACTCATTCAATGCCAAAATTTTCTTCTAAAGAACCTATTTTAAAGCTTTTTCAATATTTCTCACTTCTTTAAAATCCAACTGAAACCTACTATTATAAATCTATTCTTAAAGAATTAGAGAAAAAAATAATCCCTTGCCCTCTTCTTACTAGTCTTTGCACACTGTTTTCTATCTTATTCTTTTATACTCTGCTTTGATAAACAAGCTTTATGAAGAATTCCGCTTGACAGGATTTTGATTAATCGACTTACATTCCAGGTAATTGCTGGAGCCACTTAGCGTCTTGAAAATGTCAACTAGATGCTCCTTAAATTCAAGCTTAATGTTGCTTAATCAACTCAAAGGACAGTGTAGTCATGCTTGAGATTTGCTTAAATATTAAATGAAGTCATTCCAAATCACAAGTAACCAAAAAAGAAATAAGAATTATCACTTAGGTGCTGTTTCCCATGAACTACTGAGATTTTACTACTCTCGGTGGAGTATTATCTGCTTACCTTGTTATACATCCAAGAAATAGAAATGATTCATACAAAATCAGTGTACTGAAATAACTGATTCAAGTAAGGATCTTCAGAGGACATGAGCAACTATTAGATGAAGGATGAATGGGGAACTGGATATTGCCGTCATACCCAGGTATCACCCCCGGGTATCACCCCCAAGAGTTGCATGGGGAAAACTGCGACTTGGAAATAAAGAAATGTGATTGTCACCAGCTTAACCCACTGAGGAAACTTAAAGCCACTCATTCACAATAGGACATCCAGACATTCTGTGCTTCCTCATGACATGCAGTGTGATGTACAACTGTATCACCTCTGAAGTATTCTTGCCAAAGGAGCCAACTGGAATCAAGTTAAGCCAAAGATTAAGCTTTCAGGTTAATCAAATATATGATATATAGAACATATTAAATAATATTCTGAAGAAACAATTACATAAATCAAGTGTCTACAGAGTAAACGATCATGATCTTTTCAAAAAGTTAATGACATGAACTAGAGACAGAGTAAGGGAAAAAATGACTTTTTGATATAAAACTTGCTAAATTCACTCAGTTGTAATAGTTCAACTGTATATTCTTTTGAATTTTTCAAGCAGATAATTTCACCTGTGAATAGTTTTATTTTTTACTTTTTTATTCTTGTACTGATTAATTCTATTTCTCACCTTATTGCACTGGTTAGAATATCCAGTACAATGCATAATAGAAGTGCTGATAGCAGACATCCTTGTCTTGTTCCAATTCTCAGGGAGAAATCTTTCCATTTTTCTCCATTGACTATAATATTTGCTAATGGTTTTTGTATATATCTTATCAGAATAGGTAAGTTTCTTTCTACTATAATATGAAATATATCAAATGCATCTTCTATGGTAAGTATAATTTCCCTTTATTCTATTATTCTGATTAATTACATTGAATTTTGAAATTGCAGTCTAGAAATAAAACCAACTTGGTTCCATCTTGTCTTTCTCATATAATATCAGACTAGATCTGCTAATATTTTGTTTAGATCTGTGCCCTTATGTTCACAAGAGAAGTTAACCTGTATGTTTCCTTTCTTTTTTGTTCCTTGTTAGGTTTTTGTATCAAGGTTATTCTAGCTCCATAAAATGAGCTCCATAAAATGTTTCCTCTTTTTCTGTTCCTGGAAGGTTTGGTACAAGATTGGTGTTAATTTTTCCTTAAATGTTTGAAAAACATTCACCAGTGAAGCCACCTGGCTAGACTTTTCTTTGGTGAAAAATTATAATTAAAGATTCAAAATGTCAATTGTATTAACATTTTCAAACTCACTGGGAAATATTTCCATTTTTAAATTATCTGTAGAATCTGTAATGATGATTCCTTTTAATTTTCTGATATTAATGTTTTGTGTTTTCTCTTTTTTTCTTAATGAGTTTACATAAGGGTCTATCAGTTTTTTCAGTTTTTATAGAGAATCTAATTTGGATTTATTGCTTTTTCTATTGTACTATTTAATTTCTATTTCTTTAGCTTCTGCATTTACATTTTTTATTTCTCTTTTTCTTTCTTCGGGTTTCATGAAAATTTTAACATAAATTAAAAATTATTTTCTTCCTAAATGTTTGCTTTTCGGCCTTTCTTCTTTTCTAATGAATATTTTTAATGAGTATAAATTTCAGGTAAACACTGTTTAGGAGCATCTCCAGTTTCAGTGTGATATTTTCATCATAGATTAATTCAACATATTTCCAAAATTCCACTGTCATTTTTTCTTTGGCCCATGGGATATTCAGAGATGATTGCTTATATTTCTTACAGCATCTAGCATTGTTTCGGACCTAGCAAGTGATCGATATATATTTGCTTGGTGATTAGGGTATTAATTGAAAAATGAGATTTGATAATAAATATTCTGAGTTAGAGAGATCAGTTTTGGTATTAGTATATTTCCTGAAAGAGGAGAGATATTAGGTGTAGCCAATGAAACATGAAAAAGGCAAAGAAGCAGGAAAGCCTTGTGTGTGCCTAGAGGAAGTGAACAAGTGTAGCTGGAGCAGAGGGTTCCCATAGAAGAGATATGAAATAATCTAAAAATAGATTAGGTCAATTGCATAAGCCCCTGAATTCCAAACTAAAGAGTTAGACTTTATTATAATTACTTTAAGGAGCTAGTAAGGTGTGTGGTACATTAGTCTCCTCTATGAGTGCTCTCTCTCAAATCAATGTGAAAATCAAACACTGATAATTTTTAATTATAATAGAGCCCTGGGCATATAGCCTTATTCATAATTCTTTTATTCTGAAAACTCAGTATGAATATTGTATAGGAAATATGTATTTTTCAATTATTTTGTTTTAATCTTCTGAAGAGTAAATATCTTTCAGAAAACACTGGATTGTGACTTACACACAAAGACCAAGTTTTTCTACAACAAAGACCAAGTTTTTCTTTTCCAGTGGTGAGTTAATAACTCCTTGCACTTACATTAAGTAGAGGAGGCTAGTCCCCTAAACCAGTTTTTTTTTAAATTCAGAAAAGGTCACTGAAAATACCAATTATCTATACAGACAAGAAAACATTTTACGTGAAATGACCCTTTCATTTCTGATTCTGATATAAAATTCATCAAGCCTAATTCTATGGAGAGTAAGTATTAGGAATAAACAGTTCATCTAAGTAAGTGGATTTTCTAATTGCCTGTAATCAAAGGAAGACCTTAATCAAATTCTCCTTCTATGCTATAGGGTACCTGAAACCTCCTTTCATGCTAAAATAAGAAATTTCCATTTGTTCTACATTTGGAGGTGTTTATTTTAGAAAAAAATGTAGATTTGTGCTGCACTCCTTCAGTGACCGCAACTAATATTAAGGAAGCAAAGTAGCTAACATTCTTATAAAATGATGCCTGGATTATGGATAGCCCTGAGATAAACTGTAAGGTGGATAAATTGGTTTTCTATAATTCCAGGTTTTTTTTTTAAATTTCTTTATCGCTGTTTAATTTACCTGGAAAGTTCCAGCTTATACCAAACTTCAATCTCACTTTTATTACAAGGATACCAAAAAGATGCTTTCTCAAATTAAACTTATTGGTTTTAGTATTTATATCTTACCATAATATTATTGAGGTAACACTGATTAATAACGTTATATAAGTTCCATATGTACAAGATTATATTTCTACTTCTATATACACTACAGTATGATTGCCACCAAAAATTTAGTTTCTATCCATCACTATCTCTTTTATTCATTTCACCCTCCCCTGCCCTTTTCCACTACTCTGAACTCTGTATCTACATGTTGGGTTTTGCTTGGTTTGGTTTGTTAATTTATTCTGGTTTTCTGTTTGTTTTTTTATATTCTACATATGAGTGAAATCATAAGATACTTGTCTTTGTCTGACTTAATTCACTTAGCCTAATACTCTCAAGATCCATTGATGTTGTCATAAATGGCAAGATTTCATTTTTTATGACTATTATTCCATTGTGTGTGTGTGTGTGTGTGTACCACATCTTCTTTATCCACTCATCTGTTGATGGGGACTTAGGTTGTTTCCACATCTTGGCTATTGTAAATAATGCTGTGATGAATATTGGGGTCCATGTATCTTCAAATTGGTGTTTCATATTCTTTGTATAAATACCCAGAAGTGGGATAACTGGATCATAGGGTAGCACTAGTTTTCAATTTTTTGAGGAATCTTCATACTGTTTTCCATAGTGGCTACACAGTTACATTCCCATCAGCAGTGCATGAAGGTTCCCCTTTCTCCACATCCTCACCAATACTTGTTATTTCTTGCTTTTTTGATAATAGCCATTCTAACAGGCATGAGGTGATATCTCATTGGGGTTTTAATTTTAATTTCCCTAATAATTAGTGATGTTGAACATCTTTTCAAGTACCTGTTGGCCTTCTATATGCCTTCTTCGGAAAATTTCTATTCAGCTCCTCTGCCCATTTATTAATCTGGGTTTTCTGGTTTTTTGTTGTTGAGGTGTATGAGTTCTTTATATTTTTTTGATATTAACCCCTAACTGGATATATGATCTGCAAATATCTTCTCACACTCAGTGGTAGGGCAGGTTGCATTTTCATTTTGTTGATGGTTTCTTTTGCTGTTCAGGAGCTTTCTAGTTTGATGAGACCCATTTATTTGTTTTTTCCTTTGTTTCCCTTGCCTGAGGAGACACATCCTGAAAGATACCGCTATGACTGATATCAAAGAGCATACTGCCTATATTTTCTTCTAAGAGTTTTATGGTTTCTGGTCTTACATTCAAGGCTTTAATCCACTTTGGGTTCATTTTTTTGAGGAAGGTATGAGGTAATGATCTAGTTTCATTTTTTTTGCATGTGGCTCTCCAGGTTTCTTTGCTCCTTTTTTGTAAAATTTTCCACATATGTGTGGGTTTATTTCTTGGCTCTCAATTACATTGCACTG